AAACCCTAAATCCTAAACCCTAAACCCTTAGTGGTTAAATCTAACTGTTAAACCCTAAGCCCTTGCTGCTAATCGCTAAACCCTAAACCCGAATCTGTCTTGAAGAGTGCAGCATACGGGTTTAGCCTTGATCCGACGCGTGAGGGTGTTGCTTCTGGGGATTAGGGTTTAGGGTTTAGGGTTTAGGGTTTGGGTGCTGCAGCACTGCAACAGAGCAAGGTGTTTGCTTCCTTCCCTACGGAGCAGCTGAGCCGTTTGATTGGATCCGTAGTTGTTAAAGACTACCCAGAGAATTATCTTATATTAGACAGAGAGAATAGAACCAAGGTTAGCAAACCCTAAACCCTAAACCCTAGTAGGTGCTGCTTCTGTGCAGCTACTGGGGATGGTGGCGCTTGCGCGCCTCCACCGTCAGCTGCGATGCTGCTTATGCGTAGCTGCTGCTGCTGCTGCTGCTGCTTTTAAGGTCTAGGGTGTTGCTTCTTGGGATTAGGGTTTAGGGTTTAGGGTTTAGGGTTTGCGGGGGTTGATTCAGGCATCGGCGTCTGCGCTGTTCTCGGCGCAAGGCGTTCGTTTCTTTTTTGTGTTGGAGGGAGAGGTCTCTGTCTATGCTTACAAGGAGACCCCCAGCAGCAGCAGCAGCAGCAGCAGCAGCAGCGGAGAGCCTCATATGGAACTGCACTTAGTAGACACCCTGAAGAGGGGTCAGGCGTTTGGAGATGAATATGTTTTGTCTCCTAATAAACCCTTTGCACATTGCGTACGAAGCAACGGGCCCGCTAAGGTAAGACAAACCCTAAACCCTAAACCCTAAACCCTCAGGCCAACAGGAACTAACGACTAAGCACGACTTAACAGGCGTTGGCACAAGTTGCAAAGGGTTTAGGGTTTAGGGTTTTTAAGGTCTAGGGTGTTGCTTCTTGGGATTAGGGTTTAGGGTTTAGGGTTTAGGGTTTGCGGGGGTTGATTCAGGCATCGGCGTCTGCGCTGTTCTCGGCGCAAGGCGTTCGTTTCTTTTTTGTGTTGGAGGGAGAGGTCTCTGTCTATGCTTACAAGGAGACCCCCAGCAGCAGCAGCAGCAGCAGCAGCAGCAGCGGAGAGCCTCATATGGAACTGCACTTAGTAGACACCCTGAAGAGGGGTCAGGCGTTTGGAGATGAATATGTTTTGTCTCCTAATAAACCCTTTGCACATTGCGTACGAAGCAACGGGCCCGCTAAGGTAAGACAAACCCTAAACCCTAAACCCTAAACCCTCAGGCCAACAGGAACTAACGACTAAACTAAACCCTCAGGCCAACAGGAACTAACGACTAAGCACGACTTAACGGGCGTTGGCACAAGTTACAAAGGGTTTAGGGTTTAGGGTTTAGGGTTTGTTTTGACTCAGCTGAGCTGTGCGACCGTTCCAACGGGTGACGCATGCACTAGGATTTAGGGTTTAGGGTTTAGGGTTTAGGGTTTGTGTGCAGCTGGCCTTGCTGACGGCGAGTGCATTAACTGCAACCCTTGGAGGTCAAGACATCGATGAGACTCTAGACTATAACAACAAATTGGCTATAACGAAGAAGATGTATATCTTTCGTTATCTCTCTGAGCAGCAAACACAAACCCTAATCCGCGCATTTAAAACCGTTAGGTAAGAACGCACCTAAACCCTCGAGGGTTTAGGGTTTAGTCGGGCTTATTAGGGCTTTTTAACTACTTTCTAGGGTTTTTAGGGTTTATTAGGGTTTTGAGGGTTTATCAGGGTTTTGAGGGTTTATCAGGGTTTGGGAGGTTGGCGGCGGGTCAGGGGGTTTGCTTGCTGCGGGTTTACGGGTAGGGTTGTCTAGGGTTTAGGGTTTAGGGTTTAGGGTTTAGGGTTTAGGGGTTGGTGTTTGAGTGCAGGGTGAAGTAGCGATTCTGAAGGGGGGTCGCCGAGTGCGCACATTGGGGCGTCATGATTACTTTGGAGAGAGAGCTCTTCTTCATGATGAAAGAAGAACAGCAACAGTAGCAGCAAATAGCGCTGAAGTAGATTTATGGGTTGTAGATAAAGATGTCTTCTTGCAGATCGTCAAGGTACAGCCAGCCCCGCAAACCCTAAACCCTAAACCCTAAACCCTGAAAAAATTCACGAAAAACCATCACGGGAAACCCCCATAACCCTCAGTTGCAGCCAAACCCTAAACCCTAATTGTATACAAAGAACGATGACTTCTGAAACCCTAAACCCTAATTATGCTCCACACGAACACGCTACGCGCAAATGAGGGTTTGAGCTAGGGTTTAGGGTTAAGGATTTAGGGTTTAGGGTTAAGGGTTTGTGTCGTAGGGCCCTATGCTTACCCACTTGGAGGAACGCATTTGCATGCAAGACACGAAAGTTGAATTTAAAGATCTGCAAGTCGTTAGAGTCGTCGGCAGAGGTAAAGGGTTTAGGGTTTAGGGTTTAGGGTTTAGGGTTTAGGGTTTAGGTGCTGTTTTCTTGTGTGGGGAGTCGTTGATTTATTTTGTTGGCTTAGAGGAGGCGTGTTTGACGTTCGATGTTCGATGCATGTAGGGTTTAGGGTTTAGGGTTTAGGGTTTAGGGTTTTGGGGTGTACAGGGACCTTTGGAACTGTGAAGTTGGTGCAACATATTCCTACGAAGATTCGCTACGCTTTGAAATGCGTCTCGAGAAGAAGTGTTGTCGCGCTAAATCAGCAAGACCATATCCGTCTAGAGAGAGAGATTATGGCGGAGAACGATCATCCCTTCATCATTCGACTCGGTCAGAAGGGTTTAGGGTTTAGGGTTTAGGGTTT